ACACAGCGACAGAAGGTGTGTGCGGCAAGTACGTGTATCTTAAAGATACACGAGAAAAAAGAGCATCTTGGATATCAAATCAAATCAGTTTTCATATCAATTTCATTTGTGAATAATGTTAAAAGCAGATGAATGGTATTTCTTAGGCAGCCAGAATTTAATAATGAGTTTTTTCTATATTTTAATTGAATAACTTTAAAATACTAAACATTTTTTAAAGATGCACGAAGATAAAGAACAATCAGATCTCATTCCATTTTCACTTGTGAATAATATTAGGAGCAGATGAATGATATTTCCTGGTCATCCAGAATTTAATAATGATGTATTTTAAATATTTTAAGTGAATAACTTTTAAATACTACACATTTTTATAAATTTGAATCTGAATTTAAATTATTTCGATTATTTTATGTCATATTTAAATTGATTTTTTTGATGTCCCTTTTCTTTCTGTGCATTCCATGGATGCGCCAGAACAGCAACTTGATGCATTGTCTGTACGTGCGTGTGCAGTTGGCCAAGTCGAGTAAAACATAAACGGGTTAGGCAGGCAACTAGGGGAGCATCCCCAGCCAACAGAACCAGAACAGCAACAACAACAACAACAACAGCTATAAGGAGAGTAGCAACACCACCGTTATATAAATTAAAAATGTAAATAACATTTTCAGAGGTGATCACGGAATAAATATTATTTTTATACGGGAACCACATTTACCGCTGATTTTTTTGCCAACGGATTTCACTTGCAATTTGCGTAATCAGAGCACAGTTCTTGGCACACTCATAATTAAGTATGGATCGTTATCGTGTCAAAGGCTTTATCAGCGACGACGAATTATAATTTCTTAGGCCTCGCGAGATGGCTGCACTTCACATGGCTCGGTAGCTCGGAAATGGCGAATGGAGCACGGCACCGAGTATCGGATCGAACAGAATCGGGAAATAATATTAAAACCAGGCCCAAACGCAGCGAACCGTTCGCCTCGGATGTTCAGCGGGAACTGAGCGCCGGCATAAAGCCAAATACTCGGGCCGATGCGGCGAATGAGCAACGCGAGTGCTGCGAGAAAAACAGAGAAATTGAGAAACTGGGAGAGAGAGAGAACGGGCAGGAGAACCGGTTGCCAAACACCCAGCAAACATTCTCTAAAATAAAAGCCCACATAGGGCAGTCGACGTTTAATAGTGGGTTCACCAAGGGATTAGTTATGATGGCTGACTTTTGCCGTTCCCATTATTTTCGTGCCCATTTTGGAGGCAAATATGCCTTATTTCTAAGAAATAACTTTTATAATGGGGATAAAACTGTGCCAATAAAACAAAGTAAAATAGGAAAAAATTGAATGAAATGACTGGTAATTTCTGTAAAAGATTTTATATTAAAGTTTTTCTTTTTAAATTTTTTTAAATCTTGATTAGCATATTACAGTACAATATTAAATTTTGATTACGAGATAAAGACCATAGTTTGCTTATAGATTTAGCCTTAAGTAAGCTTTATATAAAAAACAAATTATACAAAAATGACACTAAAGAACAATAGTTTTTAATTTTTTTTGGAAATATCAAACAGAAGAAAAATTAATTTCCGTCTAAATACACACATTTCTTAACCTTCCACTAAAAGTATACAAACGTGTGCCCTTATTGTACTTTTTTTTTGTTTTTCCCTGTTCTAGTCCTGGATTTGTTCTTTGGTATCACTGAGCCAGACAGACGGCAATGACTGTTGTAATCGGAGAATTACCAAATTTCCGCACTATTAATTACACAGGTTCGGGTCCTTCGGACGACAGCTGCCAGGATCTACGGTCGCTTTGGAAACGGAAGCAGCTGAAATGTAACCAAAACAAAAGCTATGTAGTCCTTGTGGTCAGAGATGGGTCTGTTCTGCGCATAATGCAAACAGTGTTTGGAAAGTCCTTTACTTCAATGCACGGAAAAAAATATTAGCCAATTAAAAAAATTCCTGAGCTTTAATTGGATATTTAAAGGCCATCGAAAGATGTATCCCAGATCAAAAGGCTTTTAAACTGTGTTTTTAACGATACTCAAACATACTTGCTCTATAACTCTACAGATCTTGAAAAATTAAATCTTTCTTGAATCTAAAACATCATAGATTTAAAGTATAGATTTAAAAAGCAATCGAAAATCTGAAATTATAATGTTTTATACAATTAAAATTTTCTAGGAGATAACACCTTAAATTTATAATATTTTTCTTTTGGTGTGTGGCCAATCCACTCTATAATCCACCACCCCCACCACCCACTGAATAATGGATATTGAAATCGCATCGGTACTTTTAAAGGGGGATGAGATATTGTACTTTATGCCGATTAATGCTGCCCGCGTTGGAGGACAAAACCCCTGACCATTGATTTGATTGCCGGGCAAATGGTGTGCCACCTCCGCCACCTCTTGGCCATAATACTTCGCACCCGACCAGGCCAGACGTCTCTTCTGCCAGCCTGTTGCCCATTTCGAACTCTCTGCGTGCTCTTTGTTTCGCCAGCCATTCATCTCCCCGTTGTTGTTCACTTTGTGTTTTCTTTTGGGTTTTGGGGTGTTTGCCCGTTGTCTATGCACCGGATCTGTTTCCCGGGATTCCCAGTTTGCTGTGTTTATTTTGGTTGGAGCCAGACGGGAAAAAAAAGAAGATTTACAAAGGCGCCTCAGCCTCATAAAGTATTTAGTGAGACGGCGATAGCGACACCAGGCACCTTCCGGTGTCCCGATGACCAGGATATTTTTCCCTTTTTATTTGCTTACTTACACAGCAGGTTCCTCATCCCTCATCCCGCTCGAAGAATTGGACCAACTATAGTAGAGAGGCGGCCTAAATGTCTGCTTCTAATTTAAGCAGACATTTGCCTATTGTGACGCATAGTTGCCTCACATAAATCTCTCGAAATGTCCCATTAATGTTTGAGTTGCTTTTGCAAGTGCAATTCTTCGGTGGCTATAATATATATACGTGTGGGGGGCTTCAGTTTCAGCTGCCTTCGAAGAACACAAGAAAATTGGGAGGCAACAGTTGGCGGCCAATTGAAACTAATGAATAAATTACATATGCAGTGTAAGACAGTAGTAAAATTGATGAGAGAAGTTCAACATGGGTCTGAACTCGCATATATCTATCGGTTTATATGGCCTGCTCAGCCAGATGGGTTCGGAAATAAAAAGTCGACAAACAATGGATGACCGACTTGGAAATTGTGCAATTGTGTGAGGGCAATAAATGAATAGTTGGTGGGTTAGAATGAAGCAATAAAATCAAAACAAAACCATTAAGATACATTGAGCAATGCAGATCGGAGTTATGAGTATCTTGTATCTAAGAAATGCATTTGGCAAGAGATTCGTTGAGCTACCTTTAGGCTTTATTATATCTAAGACAAGAGAGAGCGCTATAGTCGGGTTGTTGTCCCGACTATCTAATACCCGTCACTCGGCTAAAGGGAGTGCGAGGGAGATGGATATATAGCATTTTTTTGATTGCTTATAACTTTTTATTGAATGGTCCGATTTGAAAAATGTCTTCTACATTTCGATAGGTATAAGTATACACAACAAAATTACATGTATACTTCTCGGAAATCTTTAAAGGTGTGGGAGCTAGACACATTTTAAATTTGTTAGTGGGCGATTGTGGGCGTTAGAGGGGGCGTGGCGCTCGGCTGAAATAAAATGAAATGTGGAAAATCTCAACCTTCTAGCTTTTGTAGTTTCCAAGATCTCAGCGTATATACGGACAGACTTATCTTGAATAAGTTTTAGAATTTTAGTGCCCGGAAATCTGTATTAGAATCCCTTAGTTATTCATAGAAAGGACGCTCTGTTTCAGAACCCACTTAAAATATTTAACAACTAGGGATAACACCTTTGAGTTAAAAGGTTGCTGCAATGTCAGATGCCACGATGATGGCCAGACAGCTCCTTGCTGCTTAGCATTCCAGTCAGAAGTCGGATAGAAGCTATAGAGCGAACGACGACTCCCATGCCAATTTGTTGCTGTGTGCAAGAATTTCATGTATGTCAACAACAAAAGCAGCAACACAGACAAGTGCAGCAACAATGAAACGGTAAACACGCCCAAGAAAACTGAGGAGCTCATTTATGGAAATTATTAAGTGCAAGCAAAGTGACCAAAGTGGTTGCTTCTCCCAGTCAAACGGCATTATTATGCGTACATATTTTTATGGGCAAGTGCGGGAATGGGCACAGAAACTGACTGCTCGAGTGTTAATAACCGAAGTCGAATTAAATTTAGGTCCCACTTAATAAAAACTATTAAAGCCAGAGAAGCCGTAAAGACTTGGAAAACATGTTACATTTACCCTCAGCTTCTATTATTGTCATTTTCCCCATTTTCGCCTTAAAGTTCAAATGAGGTACGGCTAAAAGCTGGCAAAGGTGTGAAACCACAAGGAATTCTCGTAGTTAATTACCTTGAAAATGGTTTTGTCACTCAAATGTCAATGTATATCTGACTTTTGGAGCCCTTATACGAGTATATAAACTTATGTACGTTCATAAAAGGCAATAACCCAATTCGCCTTGGTTATTGCAACTTTGATTCTGCGTATCCCTCAATTGATCTTAATTAATGTTAATTTTATTTCATGTGTCTCTTTATTGTCTGCTCTTTGCCATGCACTGAAAGGCTTATACATATTGTACAATGTACATATGTTAAATAATTAATTTCTAAGAATTCACACGTCATTAGGCATAAATAAAATTTTAAAGTCAAAAAAAATTATTTATGACGTACTGACAAAATTCAAAGACTGCAAAAAAATTTAATAGTTGTATATTAAGTTTAGACCAGGAATATTAATAATTTAAGCTTTTCAACGCCTAACTTAATTGTCCACAGACACGTTATCCCTTCTATTATTATTACAAAACCGCAAACCACTCTCACAGGACCTAGACCCTATAAATACCACCTCCTTGAGCAAAACTAGCCACAGAACACCTTCAAAATGGAGCCAGTGCAGTACAGCTACGAGGATTTCGCTCGGTTTCCCACAATGGTTTTTTGGTTGATGGGTTACGATATGCTGGGCACTCCGAAGACCCGATCCCGGAGGATTCTGTTCCGAGTATTTCGCTTCCTTTGCCTCGCCAGCCACAGCATCTGCGTGGGATTCATGATATTTCGAATGGTTGAGGCAAAGACCATTGACAATGTACCGCTGATCATGCGATATAGTACGCTGGTCACCTATGTGATCAACTCGGACACCAAGTACGCCACCACCTTGCAACGCGTTGCCATCCAAACTCTGAACTCCAAACTGGCCCGACTATATCCGAAGACCACGCCGGACAGGCTGTATCATCGGGTGAATGATCACTACTGGTCAAAATCGTTCATATACTTGGTTATTATCTACATTGGCTCGTCGATAATGGTGGTCATCGGACCGATTATTACATCAATAATATCTTATTACACCAATCATGGATTTGCCTACATGCATTGCTATCCCTACTTTATTTTTGATCCCGAAAAGCATTCGGTTTGGATCTACTTGGGCATTTATGCTCTGGAGTGGTTGCACAGCACCCAAATGGTCATCTCGAACATTGGCGCAGATATCTGGCTGATTTACTTTCAGGAGCAGATTAATCTTCACTTCAGGAACATTATACAATCGCTGGAGGATCACACGCCGAGTGTGGAGAATGATCATGAGGATAGACAATTCCTGGCGAGAATTGTGGACAAGCAAGTTTATCTGGTCAGGTAAGTGAAATATAATTAAAAGCAGGGATCGTAATTATTATGATTTTTAAAATAAAAATTATAAAATAATAATTATTTCGATTATTACATCAATAATATAAAATATATATTATTTTATATAAATATAAATATTGCAAAATAAGTCTTATTTTAAATTTTTATAATATAAATTGAAAATAAGTATTATTCTCCAATTTTTATAATAAAAATTGAAAATAAGTCTTATTCTCCAACTTACATATATAGAACATTAAAAGCCATTTTAAGTCCTTAAAATGTCCTTAAAAAATCAATCCTGTTTTTATATTTTTGCAATATACCCATTTATTTTCAATTTTTATTTTAGAAGTCTTATTTTCCAATTTTTATTATATAAATTGAAAATAAGTCTTTTTCTCCAATTTTTATTATATAAATTGAAAATAAATGGGTATATTGCAAAAATATAACAAGAAAGGAAGCTACCTTCGGCCAGCCGAAGCTTATATACCCTTGTAGATGAAAGAATACTCACTCGGTGCAGTTCCAGGGATTCCAGATTCAGCGTTTCGATTTATTTCAATTTTGTTTTTAAGTAGTCAAGAATCAAAACGCCTACTTCCTACAAAGTTACAATGAATTTTCTTATATTTGATTGGGAGCCTTAAGATATAGTGGTCCGATCCGGCTGGCTCCGACATATGTACTACCTGCAATAGAAAGAAGACCTTCGGGAAAGTTTCATCGCGATAGCTTTAAAACTGAGAGACTAGTTCGCATAGAAACGGACAGACGGACAGACGGACAGACGGACAGACGGACAGACGGACAGACGGACAGACGGACATGGCTAGATAGACTCGGCTATTGGTGCTGATCAAGAATATATATACTTTATGTGGTCGGAAACGTCTCCTTCACTGCGTTGCAAACATCTGACTGAAATTATAATACCCTCTACAAGGGTATAAAAACAGGATTGATCTTTGAGTCAATACCTTTCATATGAGTTACGACACGACCATGTCCAAGGACATTTTAAGGACTTAAAATGGCTTTTAATGTTCTATATATGTAGCTTCTTTTAATTTAAAAGTAGGTTTCTAAATTAATTAAGTGGAAATTATTAGCAGAAAAGATAGGATTATTCGGTATAATTTTTCTTAATATTCCTTAACAGTATGCAAAATGATCTGAATGACATTTTTGGAGGATCGCTGCTGCTGAGCCTGCTGACCACCGCATCGGTTCTCTGTACAGTGGCGGTATACACCCTGCTTCAGGGAGTCTCATTGGAGGGCTGTACCTATGTGATTTTCATCGGGACTTCGGTCATGCAGGTGTACTTGGTGTGCTATTACGGTCAGCAAGTCCTGGATTTGGTGGGTTATTGCAAGGATCCTAAGTTTGCCCATTAACCATATGACATTCCTTGCAGAGTGCTGAGGTGGCCCATGCCGTGTACAATCATGATTTTCACAACGCCTCTATAGCTTACAAGAAGTACCTGTTGATAATCATTATAAGGGCACAACAGCCCGTGGAATTGAGTGCCATGGGTTACCTGCCCATATCGCTGGATACGTTTAAGCAGGTAGGATATTGTATGATAACCGTCTTGAGGTGATAAATATTCCCCTTCTTCCTTCAGCTGATGAGCTTTACTTACCGCGTTATAACCATGCTCAGGCAGATGATTCAGTAGGAGGCAATTAAAGGCACGGATTTTGCAACATTAGCCACGCTTTAATCGCACTACGCTAGTAACTACATAACTAGATCTGGATTCTAGACCTAGATCATGATCACTTGGGATCCGAGGGCAGCTTGAAGCCCACCAAATCGGCGGTGTCCCTTACGGATCTCTCGCCCCTCCCGTGGAACTCCTTGTAGAGCTCCAGGTACTGCCGCTGGCTGGTCAAGTAGGTCAAGTACGTCTGGCCCAGGAAGGTGGCTTCATTGCGGGCCTTGCACACTTGCTGTTCCGTCGTCGAGTGCTTCTTGTATTGCGCCAAAACGTAGCGCGCCGCTAGGGAGTCCTTGATGCAGCCATTCGGAGAAGCCTGTCGCAGTTCGTGGAGCAGGGAGCGCAGCACCTTAGTTCCCGACATCCTGGATAAGAAATAACCATTGTAGTTTAAAGAAAAACCAAACAAACGGCTACTTACGTGATTTTCCAAGAATATTCGAAGTGTTTCGGCCGAACAGCTGTTGTCTGGGCGTTGCCACCTGGTCGCTTTCGCTTGTCAAAACATTTAAATACAGTGAGCACTATGAGCAATGAACTAAAAGTTAATTGTATTTTTTTTGAACGAACACATTTAAATAGTACAAAATATTTTATATAAAAGTAAATAGGTTGCACTGAAGACTTTTGAATTTAATTCCAGTTTTCGTTAACAATAGAATTACGCCTAAAATGTATAACAATAAAATCTATATTTTTCTTTAATACTTTACGAAGAGTTTTTTTTAAGAATCTTTTTAATTTCAGCCACCTCTACACTAGCCATTTTGTTTATTTGATTCTACAATTTCTGTAGGGGCTATCCTAACAATTGGGTTATCGAAAATTATTAAAAATAATAAAATAAAATAATAATGTAAAATACTTATTGGAAATAAAAATGTGAAAATACAAAGCGTCCTTTTGATAAATATTTGCATATTTAAGATAGGATAAGCAAAAACCCTAAAAACAAATCTTATCTCATTTGCAATTCGAAGTACCAATTGAATTACTAGGGCTAATTGGGAAAACAATTATTAAAAATAAATATGTAAGATACTTATTGGAAATAAAAATGTGAAAATACAAAAGGTGTCCTTTTAATAAATATTTGCATATTTGGGATTGGATAAGCAAAAACCCTAAAAACAAATATCTTCTCATTTGCACTTCGAAGTACAAATTGGATCACTAGAGCTAATTGGCAAAACATTTTCACTATACCTCCAATAAGAAGTCAACGCAACAAATCCGGATGGAAAAACAATTTATTTTAAAAGTTATTTAGCAGTACACCGAACTCGTAGCTTGGGCTGTTCACTTCCTGGGCTTGCCGGCGGCTGGCTTCTGGCCGGGCTTCTTGCCAGCGGCTCCCTTGCCGCCGGGACCAGCCTTGGAGACCTTGCCGGCACCGGCTTTGGTGCCCTTGGCTCCGGCAGCTGGCTTCTTCTTGGGATCGGGCTTGGCCTTGGGCGCCTTCACGGGCTTCACGAGCGCCTCGCGCTGGCTCTTCAGGGCCTTCACGATCTTCTGCTCCTCGATGAGGAAGGCGCGCACGATGCGCTCGCGCAGGCAGCTGTGGCAGAGGACTCCTCCGTAGGTCCTCGAGACGGTCTTCAGGCGCTTGGACATCCTGGGGCGCTCGCTGGGGCGGGAGGGGGTGATGCCCTTCAACTTCTCCTTGCACTGGCCGCAACGGGGCACGGTCTTGTTCTTCTTCACATACTGGTAAACCAGACGGCCACCGGGCGTGCGAACACTGTAAGATCGGGGATTATATACACTGGATCGGAGGATTATAGTCGGCTACTCACATGCGGCGCTTGTTGGAGCGTGTGTTGTAGGACAGGCGTCTCCGGAGCGTCAGACGTTGGACCATTTTGCTGTTGTTGTTGCTGTTGGTCGGGGCAGCGCGTTGGTTTCGGTTACATATGCAAAAGCGTGGAAAATCATTATTAGTTTGGTGTATCACTGGTTGGGGCGCAGCCTTGGCTGCATTTGGGGGTATATTTCACGGGGTAATTCACACATTGCGGCGAATTTCTGTGAAATTGTAAATTGAACACGTGCATACCTCAAAGAGACGAAACTAGAAAGAAAGGTGGCAACCCTGCGGCCGAGCGACGTGAACTTGGCTGCGCTGCGGCTGTGCGGCACTTTCCAGCACTGAAGGCCTTGCCAGATTGCGCTAGAAACAGGGGCTTAGAGGGGGTTTTTATGTAAAATTAAACGTATTTGTGAATATAAAATCTTACTTACAGCTATTTAAATGTGTAGTTTTTTTTATTGAGTATAATTTTTTAATTTAGTTTTATTTTAAAGTTTTTTTATCCAACTTATATGGTATTACAACGAGATTTTCATTTATAGTTTATTAAAACAAAAAATAAAAAAATAAAAAATTAAAATAAAATGTTTTGTTCAGCTAATAGCCAAAAACAAAAGGCAATAATTTACTAAAAAAAATACATTTTGGAACCCCTTTACTGCGCCCCTGCCATCACCTGTTGTTGGTTTGTTTTGTGGTGCAAACTGTTATCAAACCGCAAACAGATAACATTTAATTGCAGCAAAATGAACAAAGCCAGCAAAAGTAAGTATTTCTTCTGCCCTAGAGGAGTTCTAATTAAATATTCCTGCTCTGATAGTCATGCGACTGGTGCTACTGCAACTGAGGGGCTCCAAGGACAAGGTGGCCAATGTCCAAAATGCCGCCAGCAAAATAGAGGCGGCGGTCAAGGAGCACAGCCCTCGATTGATCACTTTGCCCGAGTGCTTCAACGCTCCCTACGGCACCAAGTACTTCCGGGAGTATTCCGAGACCATTCCCGATGGCTACACCTCGCAGCAGCTCTCCAGTTTGGCCAAGAAGCACCAGGTCTACATCGTCGGCGGAACCATTCCGGAACTGGGCGAGAACGATGCCATCTACAACACCTGCACCGTCTGGTCGCCCACCGGTGACCTGGTGGCCAAGCACCGCAAGATGCACCTCTTCGACATCGACGTCAAGGGCGGCATTCGCTTCAAGGAATCGGAAACGCTCTCCGCAGGCAATCAATTCACCACCATCGACATCGATGGCCACAAGCTGGGCATCGGCATCTGCTACGACATCCGATTCGAGGAGATGGCCAGGCTGTATCGCAACGCAGGCTGCGAGATGATTATCTATCCGGCTGCCTTCAACATGACCACGGGTCCTCTGCACTGGGAGCTCCTGCAGCGAGCTCGTGCCAATGACAATCAGTTGTTTGTGGTCACCACTTCGCCGGCGAGGGATCCTAACGCCGAGTATGTGGCCTACGGTCATTCCATGGTGGTGGATCCCTGGGCCAAGGTGCAGCAAAGTGCCACCGAAGGCGAGGAAACTGTGGTGGCCGACATCGACTTTTCCCTGGTGGAGCAAGTGCGCCAGCAGATTCCCGTCTTTGGCCAACGACGCCTGGATCTGTATGCCACCGAAAGGAAGACCAAGTAAGGGATTGAAAACCCTTTCAGAATCTTTTCCCATTTGCATTTATGTTTGTTGATTGATTGTATGTATATAAAATTTATTAGACCTAATATTGACGAACTATTGCTGTTTATCTGCTTGTTGAATATCGGTGGGAGCCACCTCCGCGGCTGATTGCACATAGTGGGGCCGCTGCGCCTGGTCGAAAAGAGCTCGTATGGCTTCATCGGTGGCCATCAAGGGCTGACTAATGAATTCCAGGGCCTTTTGGGGAGACAAACAAAGGAATTAATTAATGAAAATTAAAAAATTAAAGAATTACTCAATACCCACCCTAACTGCATACTTTTCCGCCTCGCAAAGTGGACTTGTGCTGGCGCTGGACAGCTTCAGAGTCTCTTCGGGAATGCCCACGCCCGTGTGCAGGACCATGCGTTGCAGGATATTCAGATTCTCGGCACTCAGGCTGATCACATCGGTGGCGGGCAGGTTGAGGAAGCGAATCTTGGCCAGGAACTTGAGCTGCTTGAGCATGTCCAGCTGAATCTCGCGGATCTGATGGGTGGCGTGCAGCAGTTGCTTCGTGGACTCGTTGAGCAGCTGGTTCTTTTGGGTGAGATCGGCCTTCCAGCGGGCTAGCTCCTCGACCATAACGCTGCTGGCCAGGAATTTGGATCGCCAGACCTCACATTGCCCGGCCAGGAACTCAATCTGCTCGGTGTGGGTGGTCAGGTTGTTGGCGGTGTCCAGGAGAGCTCTGGCCAGCTGCAGCTTGTCCTCGGTGAGCAGATTGACCCGCGTCTGCAGATCCTCGCCCACGGAGGCCACCAGCAGGCTCTTCAGTTCGCTGTTGACCTGCGTTTGGAACTTGTACTGGGCCTGGAAGTAATTCCGCTCCTCGCGCACCTTGGCCAGCTCCTCCTGCAGTGAGATTAGCTCCTGGTTGCCCACCGACTGGCTTTCCTTTGGCTCCGTGTCCAATTCCTGGGTGCGCAGCGTGGACACCTGATCCACCAGCACGGCAATATCCAGGTTGTTCTTGTCCCGATGGACTTTGTGTTTGTTCGTTGGCTCCGAGATCATGGGATTCACCGCACCCGGATAGGGCTCAAAGGGCACGAACTTGGGGGCCTTGGTCTTCTTGTGCTCGGGCAGGGTTTCTGGGTGGGTGGTGACCAATCGTGGCCTCATCTGGACCAGTTCCCCCTTGGGCAGCACGGGCGCCAAGCTGCGGGTAACGATTTCGGGTCGCCTGTAGAGTGTGTGCAGGCCGGGAAGGGGCAGAGTGGAGGCGTGGACACCGCCAGTGGAAGTCTTCCTGCCCATGACAGCCTCCTGGACAATGGCACTGTCCTTTCGCGACAATTGGGGCCTCTTGACCTTAATGTCCACATCAGCACTCGCCTGGATTTCACTCTCTGTTTTCGTTGCTCCGCCGCTTTCCGGCTGCTCCATGCCATCGCCACTGGTGCGACAATCCGGGGACTTGTCCACCCTAGCTACTGTGTCACTGCCCTCCGCATCCATTCTTGACAGTCCTTTCCTGGCCAGGCCAAACTAAATTTTCGAAATTAAATTCAAGAATTTCTCTGGCTGTGCCAGCAAAACAAAAACATTGACCGAGGGCTGCCAACTCGCTGCAAAGGTGTACGAAATAAGTACCTAGGAGTTAGGTACAATTTTTATTATTATCATACATTTATTTATTTTAATTTAAATTCCTAGCACTACAAGTTAAATTTATTTTGTAATGTGCTAGTCACGTTTTTCAGAATTGTTTATTTTAGTCAGGTATTTAATATTATTTAGGATCCATGTATTGCTGCTCCTGGTTATAAGTAAAGTAATAAACTCGAACATTATTAACAGCAATGATAATAATAATCTTCCCCATGGACTCCGCGGCAAAGGGAGCACATACCACCTAATAAACAAATAAATTGGTAAAATTAATAATATTGTATTTAATCATTTTATTTTATTGAATAAACTACTATCAGGGGTGTCACAGAAATCTCTTCCAACCGAAGACGGTTGGATTTTGCATTGATGCACGTAAGAACTTTAACGGATTTCGGTTGGAAATAATTTCTGTGACACCCCCGTATATACTATATATTATTATTAATTATGAGATACATACGTGGAGGCCAAGGGGAGGCCAAAAGCTGACCAAGGCTCAGCAGGATTATGATCAGGAGCATCAGAACTTTCAATGTAACCATTCTGAACGATGGAATATAAATAAACGTTGCCGAATTTAAAGTATATTGTGGATGGCACAAATTGGTAATCTCTTAACTTTGACGATGTATGTATTACACTGTATACGCCGGCATTTAAAATGCGGTGGGTTATCAATAAGGTGATTGACCGCTGTGCTATCAGCAATCTTCTATGCGAAAAATAAATAAACATAAAAGACACATCATTATCCCAGCACATAAGTATGTAAGTATAAACACCAAATTTAAAATAACAAAAAATACTTTTTAGTTATTCGTAGAGTAAAAGGTAATTGTATTCGTGCAAAAGTATATAACAGGTAGAAGAATGCGTTTCCGACTCCATAAAGTATATATATTCTTCTTCAGGATCACTAGCCGAGTCGATCTAGACATGTGTGTCTGTCCGTCTGTATGAACGCTGAGATCTCGGAAAATACAAAAGCTAGAAAGTTGAGATTACCCACAAATATTCTTGGGCTTCCTACGCAGCGCAAGTTCAGCCAAGCGCCACGCCCACAAACGATTTTAAAATGTGACTAGCGCCCACGTTTTTAAAGATTTCGGAGAAGTATAAATTTTTCAAATCTGACCATTTGTTAAAAAGTTATGCCTGATCAAAGTTTATATCTCCAACTCTTTCGCACACCTTTTAGATGAGTAACGGGTATCTGATAGTCTATAGCGTTCTCTCTTGCTTAAAAATCCTTAAAAACGACTGTGAGCGTACGAGAGGCATGGCGCTATTTGTGTACATTTATATAAACTTTATGCAGTGTCCTTTATTAGTTGTTAATCATCATCAGTCTTAATCATCATCATCGGGGTAATTACACCTGGAGCAACCTCCTAATAAACAAATAAATTGGTCAAATTAATAATATTGTATTTAATCATTTTATTTTATTAATCAAAATGACATATAGTACTGGAAGAAATGTAGTGGAAAATATTGATGTTAAATATGTAATACATACCTGGTGGCCAAGAGGCGGCCAAAATCTGGCCAAGGCTCAGCAGGATTACGATCAAGAGCATCAGAATTTTTTGAACGATAGAATTTAACTGACCGATTCTGGGTTTCTGTATTTATTAAGCAGATTAATTCTTAATCTTAATCTTTTGAACTTTGACTGCAAGGTATACGAAACAAGTATCTAGGAACAATTTTTCAGAGTTCTTTACTCTAGGATGAAATTTAATTGTATTCAGGATCCATGTATTTTTGTGCTGGTTATAGGTAATATGATAATATTAAATCAACTTTAAGCTTTTTATTAAACTTTATTCAGTGCTTTGATCTTCATGTTTGTATAGCTATTAGTGTACATTTATATAAACTGTATGCAGTGTCCCCCATTAGTTGTCATCGTCCTAATCACATTCCCCACGGTGGCAAAGGGTGCAAGGACCTATTAGGTATAAATAAATGTATATGGTAAAATTAATAATATTGTAATTAATCATTTTATTCTAATAAATTTAATTAGATATAGTACTAGAAGAAATGTAGGGGAAAATATTAATTATGAAATACATATGTACGTGGAGGCCAACGGCCGGCCAAAAGCTGGCCAAGGCTCAGCAGAACTTTCAATGTAACCATTCTGAACGATGGAAAATAACTAAACGATTCCGAATTTTAAATATATTGTTGAATTATAGTGGATGGGACAAATGCGTAATCTCTTAAACTTTGACGATGTATTCCAAGGTCAATGACCATATTTGCGGTGGGTTATCAAAAAGGTTATTGAGCAATCTGCCATCAGATCTGTGCATTTTGGTCCTGGGTTTAAATAAATAGCATAATATCAACAACTTTGAGCTTTTTATAGAACTTTATTCACTGCTTTGATATTTATGTTTGTATAGCTATTTGTGTACATATATGTAAGCTTTTGGCAGTGTCCTCCATTAGTTTTTAAGAAAATCATCATCAGTAATCTTCATATTCATCGGGTTCACACCAGGTGCAACCTCCTAATAAACAAATAAATTGATTAATATTGATATTACATAGGTATACTACTGTAAGAAATGTAGGGGAAAATATTAATATTAATTATGAAATACATACTTGGAGGCCAAGGAGCAGCCAAAAGCTGACCAAGGCTCAGCAGGATTACGATCAAGAGCATCAGAACTTTCAATGTAACCATTCTGAGCGATAGAAAATAACTAAACTATGCCAAATTTTGAATATATTGTGGTTGGTACAAATTCGTAATCTCTTAAACTTTGACGATGTATGTATGTATTACCCTGTATACGCCGGCATTTATAATCCGGTGGGTTATCAATAAGGTTCCAGCACAGATGCAAATCTCCTTCAATAGGGCAATGGACTGGATGAACAGGAAAGGTATTGTATTTTGTTTTTACTTTAACATTTTTTTAAAAGCTGTTACTCTACTTTCCAGAACTTGCGAAACATATTCAATGTTTATTATTTAACCATTCACTCTTTTTAATTTTTTTTTTAAACTTCTATCACTTTGGCTCTAGCCAAAATGGCTAGTTACTCATTTCTCTGGCATCACTGGTGTAACGTTGAGTTTCGGTTTTTAGCCACATCCCGTCTACGGTCACACTAAATTGGCACCATATATTTATTGGCAAAATAAAACAAATAAATACGACGAGGCTGCAAATAAGGGGTTTACCTGGTACCGGCGATACGAAGAGACCGCTCCTGCCGACCCCCAAGCACCCCGGCCACGCCCCCTGCCCGCCCGCCGTGCATCGCCGAAGGATGTCCGCTGTGGAGCCCGAGGTGCTGCAGAAAATCGATCTGATTGAGCCCACAACCGGAAAATTGTTTTTCGAGCACAAGACGGAGCTGCTTTTCTGCCGGCCACATCTGATGCCGCTGAAGACGCAGGCGCTGGAACGTCTGGAGGAAATGCATCGGGACACCGCCCGGCAATTGCAGAAGAAGCGCCACCAGCAGAAGTCCACGGAGCCCACTGGCTCGCTATGAACTATAGTCCTTAGTTTCGAAATCACAGTCGTCACAAGCACACCCACTGAAAAGCACAAGAAGCACACTTAGAGCACTGCAGCAGTAGGATTAGGATTGGGATTTGGCAGCATGGCCTACCTACTGACCTTCGGCATTGTGGCCGCCCTATTCCTGGCCAGCATCTCACTGTACCGCTATGGAAACATACCACGTCAGCACATCCTGGTCACCTTGTCCGTGCTGACCGCCTGGTGCTTCTCCTTCCTGATTGTATTCACCATTCCGCTGGACGTGACATCGGTGAGTTGAGATGTGGAGCTCTAAAGCTGCTATACTATACTTTGTATACTTCTGACCACTTAACCATATGGTGTAATTTTAAACACCCTTGCAGTCCTGTGACATTCGATCCTGGTATTTCCGTTTTCTATTAGGGTTGTTTTTAACTTAATAGTCTAACGTAAAATACAATTTTCAATAGCAACATACATATTGCTAAGTAATTATATACGCTAAATTATAATAACAACCGATTCAGAGTCCCCATTAGGGTGAAATTATTTTAAAACACGTTTTAATCATTTAAAAGAGGGGTTTTTTAAGTAAACATTTCCAAGACAACACAATTTTATATATAAAATATTTTTTATTTGTCAATACGATATGTAGTTGTGGTTTAAGCAAAACTCATTCTTTTGTTTCTAGAGTGAGAACAGAATTTAATTATTTTTTATCTAAAGCCCCTAGACATTGATTCCTGCATTGATTTTGGTTTGGAACTTCTTATCTTTGAATGAATCACCTTTAAACTAGAACAAAGCATGCAAAAGTCTCCAAGGCGTTGGAATTGTGGTTCTGGGAATACTCTTTCTCACTAGAGCCCTGCATGAATGGATTCAATTAACTATTTTCAATTTTTTGTTTTATATGAATGAATTAATTAGAATTTTGAGTTTAATAGAATTGAATGAATTTGAATTTTGAGTTTAATAGAATGGAATGAATGAATGGCATGAATTCCGAAATAATTCAAACAACAATTTCTTTTGAAGAAGAAAGGGCCACTATTTTGTGATTAAATCTGCCTGAATTTTTTTTACTGAGCAGTTAAAAATGTTCTACTTTTTGTTCTCAAAAGATAGCACAGAAAAAATCTGGCAAATTCAAAATATTCATAAAAATGTTTCATTCATTCATTCAATTCGAAATGAATTAGAAAAACATTCAAATAATTTCACATAGAATTGAATTAAACAAATCAGAAATTTTATGGCATACTATGATAAATCCAAAATTGAATGATTCACGCAGGGCTCTAGTTAGAATTGTGGTTCTGGGAATACTATTTCTCATTTTATAGCTACATAAAAACCAACATATTTTTTAATGGCTAACGGATATGAATAACTAAATTGTATTATATACATTTCAGACCCTTTACCGTCAGTGCGAAGAGGAGCACCGACCGACGCCAGCCCCAAATGCGACCAATTCGTCGGCGGCCACTACTTTGGCCCCGCCGTCGCAGTGCCAGGAGCCGTGGGGCATGGTCCCAGCCTCGGTGTTCCCCAACCTGTGGCGCATTATCTACTGGAGCTCGCAGTTCCTCACCTGGTTGATCATGCCGCTGATGCAGTCGTACCTCAAGGCAGGCGACTTTACGGTCAAGGGCAAACTCAAGTCGGCGCTCATCGAGAATGCCATCTACTACGGATCCTACCTGTTCATTTGCGGCGTACTCCTCATTTATATAGCAGTCAAAGGAGAGTCTCTGGACTGGCAAAAACTGAAGGCAATCGCCTCGTCGGCTTCAAACACCTGGGGCCTCTTCCTGCTTATCCTGCTGCTCGGCTACGCCCTGGTGGAGGTGCCTAGGTCACTGTGGAACAATGCCAAGCCGGGACTCGCGCTGCAATACGCCTACTTCAAGGCGGCCAAGCTGAGCACCGAGAAGGCGGAGGCCGAGGAGCATGTGGACGACATTCTGGAGTCGCTGCAAGGCCTCAGCCGGGTCATACCGAACAATCACGAACTGCGCCCCTGCCTGGAGACCATCCTGCGCAAGGTGCCCATCGAGCTGCAGGAGCGGGCGAGCCGCAACTTCGCGCGCACCGGCGGCAGCGGCATGGGAGCCACTAGCTCCACCATCTTGCCCTCGGAGAAGGCGCTGGTTCGCATTCACAAGCAGGTAATCAAATCGCTGCAAACGCTGCAGCGCACCGAAGCGCTGTGGAGCGTGCAGGTGCAGACGGTGCTGCACCTGGAGGATGTGGCCAGGAATATTCACTCCTCGGAGCGACGCTTCAAGTCGGAGTTTCCGCGCCAGCGCACGCAGCTGGAGAGGATCTGCTACAGTGCCACGCTGCAGTGGTACTGGGAGTGCCTGCTGAAGGCCCCGTTTTTGAAGACCATGTGCGTCCTCACCGCCACCATGTCCGCCATGGTGGTGTGGAGCGAGCTGACCTTCTTTAGCCGCCGCCCCGTGCTCTCCATCTTCGCCAACGTGATTTACGTGGCCAAGGAGAGCTACGACTTCTTCACCATCGAGTTGTTTTCTATGGTCGTCCTCTGCTACTTCTTCTACTGCACCTACTCCACGATACTGAGGATTCGCTTCCTGAATCTGTACTACCTGGCACCGCACCACCAGACCAACGAGCACAGCCTCATCTTCAGCGGCATGCTCCTCTGCCGTCTGACGCCCCCCATGTGTCTGAACTTCCTGGGTCTCATCCACATGGACACGCACATTATTCCTAATGTAAGTACTAGAGCCCTGCGTGAATCATACAATTTTTGTTTTATCATAGTATGCAATGATATTTCTGATTTGTTTAATTCAATTGTACGGGAAATAAATTTAATGTTTTTCTAATTCATTTCGAATAGAATATTAATTTTTATGATTTTTTTGAATTTGCCAAATTTTTTTTTGTGTTTTCTGATTTGTTTAATTCAATTCTATGTGAAATAAATAGAATGTTTTTCTAATTCATTTCGAATTGAATGAATGGTTAATTTTTATGAATTTTTTGAATTTTCCAGATTTTGTTGTGCTTTTGAGAACAAAAAGTGGAATATTTTGAACAAAACAATGTTAACTGCTTAGTAAATAAAATTTAGGCAGATTTAATCACATAATTATGGCTCTTTCTTCTTCAAAAGAAATTGTCGTTTGAATTATTTCGAATTATTTCATTCAATTCTATTAAACTCAAAATTCCAATTCATTCAATTCTAAAAAACTCAAAATTCTAATTAATTCTTTCATATAAAACAAAAAAACTCCAAATTCATTGAATCCATTCATGCAGGGCTCTAGTAACTATTAAGTATTCCTCAAAAACTACAAAAACTAATAACTAATTATCCCCAGCGCATTATGGAGACGGTCTACACGCAGATCATGGGCCACATGGACGTCATTGGCATCATTTCGAATGGCTTCAACATCTACTTTCCGATGTGCATGCTGGCCTTTTGCCTGGCCACCTGGTTTAGTCTCGGGAGTCGGGCCCTGAATGCCCTCGGCTTCCAGCAGTTCCTGCAGAACGAAACGATTGCCACCGAGCTGGTGCAGGAGGGCAAGGATCTTATAGCGCGTGAAAAGCGAAGGCGCCAGCGTGCCGAGGAGGCGATGGCCAGGAGACGCGACTTCAATCGAACGGACCAGGTTCTGGGCAGCGATTACTTAAGCAAATACCGGAGTGGCGGAGCCGGTGGTCTGACCAGCAGTCGGACTCCCGCCGACGGGCTGCTGCGCGATGGCGACGGCAGCTTTGACTACGCGGCGGTGGCCTCCTCCTCGGCACTGGGAGTGCCACGTTCCCTGTCCGAGGAGATCAACGACCGGTTCGGAGTGAGCACCCAGGTGCAGGTGGGATTCCGGGACCCCGACTACGAGGCGGAGCAAGATGGCCGCATTGTGGGACCGCCGCCCCGAGGTCTCTTCGACGATGTCTAGGCTCGAAATATGGATATCTCTTTATTTAACTTCGCAACCGAGTATCTCAATGTCTGCAATGTTCCATAGTTTGTATTTCGTTTGTGCTTAAGTATTTCCTGCTGCCACTGCTGCTGCTGTTCCTTCACACCTATGTATGTACGATATTCGATTGAATAAACCACTAGAGAGGATGTTTGAACGGCTCTACCTTTTTCCGATGTCCTGGGATTTCAATTTTGGCGAGGTGTCAGGATCCATTGAGTGGTTGATATCCTCGGGATTCGAGCTGGCGTTCTCTAAATCAACCTTGGAAAGCTTTTCTCCTTTTTCTGCCTTTGGCAGCGTAATAAGTTGCGATATGGGATGCGGATTAATGCGCTTGCGACTGCGCAGAAAGCCACAGCGTGAGGTAACCGGAGTACTGGACGGATGCATGGTATGATATCTACTTAAATTGCACACCTGACTTTCGATTATCTGAAAAAACTTGATAGATTTATTTGACAATTATGCAATGTCAAATGTCACTGCTTCAAGGATTGCCACCCAATCAAAACCATTCCTTACCAAGTTTTATTTTCATGTATTACTTTTATAATTATGTATTATTTTCTATAAGAAAACTGAAATAATTATGTACAAACATATTTTTAATACATTTATATTTTCCCTTGTATATAACATATTTTTAAATGAAACAAAACCTATTAGTTTTATGATGTATATGATTTATAAACGAACAGGGTTGTTAACCTAGAATTTGCAGCAGTTTATGTGAATATGAATTCATATTTCCTTTAAAGAAACACAAAATCTGTATATACATTTTTTATATACATTTATATTTTTCTTTGTATTTCTTCCTTAAAAAAAAACAATACCCATTAGTTTTACGATGTATATGATTTATAAACGAACAGGCTTGTTAACCTAGAATTCACAGCAATTGCAACAGGAGATTAACATTTGGAAAGTCTGGGTTTATGTAAATGGGTAAAATCTCGAAACATCCAAATAGGAAATATGTACAATCGACAGGGCTTTGTATGGGAATGGTGCTAGCCGAAGAAACAGTAGATTGTGTTCGATATTATATATAATCAGTGGTCGTCCGCTAGCTATTGGGATCGTTTATCGTTGGGGATTCGTGTTCCATGTAGATGTAGGGAAATTAACTCCTTTACTCATCGCCGCCACCCTCTTCGTCCTCGTCGAACTCGCCCTCCTCGTCGGCGGTGGCCTCCTGGTACTGCTGGTACTCGGAAACCAGGTCGTTCATGTTGCTCTCGGCCTCCGTGAACTCCATCTCGTCCATTCCCTCGCCGGTGTACCAATGCAAGAAGGCCTTCCGCCTGAACATCGCGGTAAACTGTTCCGAAACTCGCTTGAAGAGCTCCTGAATGGCCGTCGAGTTGCCGATGAAGGTGGCCGACATCTTGAGACCCCTCGGAGGAATATCGCACACCGCCGTCTTGCAATTATTCGGGATCCACTCGACAAAGAAGCTGCTGTTCTTGTTCTGGATATTCAGCATCTGCTCGTCCACCTCCTTCATGGACATGCGACCCCGGAAGATGGCGGCGACGGTCAGGTAGCGACCATGACGCGGATCGCAGGCGGCCATCATGTTCTTGGCATCGAACATCTGCTGGGTCAACTCGGGAACTGTCAGGGCCCGGTACTGCTGGGATCCGCGGGAGGTGAGGGGCGCGAAGCCGGGCATGAAGAAGTGCAGCCGCGGGAAGGGCACCATGTTCACCGCCAGCTTGCGCAGATCGGCGTTCAGCTGGCCCGGGAATCGCAGGCAGGTCGTGACCCCCGACATGGTGGCCGAAACCAGGTGGTTCAGGTCACCATAGGTGGGCGTGGTCAGCTTCAGGGTGCGGAAGCAGATGTCGTACAACGCCTCGTTGTCGATGCAGTACGTCTCATCGGTGTTCTCCACCAACTGGTGGACACTCAGGGTGGCGTTGTAGGGCTCCACCACGGTATCCGACACCTTGGGCGAGGGCACCACCGAGAAGGTGTTCATGATGCGGTCGGGGTACTCCTCGCGGATTTTGGAAATCAGCAGGGTTCCCATTCCGGAGCCGGTGCCGCCACCCAGCGAGTGGGTCAGCTGGAAACCCTGTGGGATAATAGGAGAAAATTTAAAGATTAGTTTAAAAATCCTAAACTAAGCAAGCCTTTATGTCACCTTATACAGTGGCGAAAAAACTAATAGCACCACTACGTCACAGGTTCTTAATATTAAACAAATATGTGGGAAACGGGAATTTTTCGTATTTTTTCCAGTTTAGTTTCCAGTTTCCAATTTATGTTTAGTCTTACTATTTAAAACCCGTTTTGAAAAGTTAAAAAATGTGAGTAGGGTAACTAGTTAAAATTTTTTTGGGTTAGTGGTGCTATTATTTTTTTCGCAGCTGTAGCTGGCTATAAACGATACAGCGGTTTAAAGGAAATCATTGGGCTGCTGCATCGTTTATAGCTGCTAGTAATGCACACCCTAAACCTCAACCCCTTACACACAAAAAAAATCATGTTCCCGTAAAATCGATATGGCCATGTAAGTTTCACGTCATGCAAAACCCATATCGTTTTTACATGAAATAATCTTTTCGACCAGGTCAAATTTACCTGGCCCCATATCAAATTAAAAGTGATCTTAAATAATGTAAAATTGATTTACGTTTCATATCGATTTTTTTTGGGTGTACTAACCTGCAGGCAATCACAGCCTTCCGACTCCTTTCGCACCACATCCAGGACAGAGTCCACCAGCTCGGCGCCCTCCGTGTAGTGACCCTTGGCCCAGTTGTTACCGGCTCCCGACTGACCGAAGACAAAGTTGTCCGGTCGGAAGATCTGGCCAAAGGCGCCGGAACGCACCGAATCCATGGTGCCGGGTTCGAGGTCCACCAGGATGGCCCTTGGAACATATTTCGCACCGGTGGCTTCATTGTAGTACACATTGATGCGCTCCAACTGCAAGTCACTGTCGCCGTAATACGTTCCGGTCGCATCTATGCAATGCTCATCTGAGATAACCTCCCAGAATTTACCACCGATCTGGTTACCGCACTGACCGGCCTGAATGTGCACGATTTCACGCATCTTGGCAGAGACTGTCAAGAATCAATGGTTGAAAACCCGTTGGAGGAAAAGATTTTCCACAAAAAAAATAGTTGGTAAAAAAACCGAGTTATTTTTTAACAGTCTGAGGGGGCAAAAACCGGCGGTAAACTGAATATTTTAACGTATAATTTTTCAGGTTTATATTTTACACGTGTACTTGCTAGCTGATACTGAGCTGGACTGAAGTTGGTTGATACTACGTCTCCGAAGGTTCTTAGCCGGCCTACTACGACCGAAGTTTTTGAAATATATGTTCCTTCACCAAATAACAGAAATGTCAGTTGAAGGGTTTTGAGCAAAAACTTTAATATTACCTTTATTAAAACAATAAACAGATAAAATTCGAGATGGGATGGGGTTGGCGGTGCCTTAGAACCAATAGAGGTTTCTACGGTCACCAGCCAGATGATACGATTGATATTGACATGGGTGTTTTGGAGATGCCTCCTTTGTAAATGTGTATAGATGGGTGTATATTGGGATGGGTCGATTATTGCGGTTAAAAAATGTTTTTGAAATTTCTTTGGAATTTTCTAGAATTTTCCTAAAAACTTTATAATTCCCTGCCGAAATAATCGACCCATCCCTGTGTAAATATCTACGTAGGGAAGGTTCGTCTAACAACCAGTGTTTTGAGTTAACGGCGGTTGGATCTCTACAGGATGGTGGACTACAATGTGGCGATCCCTTGGCTCTGGACTCCTCTACAAGGAGGAATCCCACAGCTGGCTATACGGATATCAGACGGAGGCTCGCTTCAGGCACAGAGTGCTCTCAATAATATCCGTAGGCTGGAAATCCGGATCGACGAACTGCTCGTGGTTGAGGCACCTGGTGCCGCCCATGCAGGTGCAAGAGCACAGAGAAGCGGTCTCATCATTCTCCGTTGTATAATTATTCTCCAGCAATTTGCCGTGCATATTGTAGGTGGACTCATCATCGAAAGTCACCGGCTGGGCATTTCCGGCCAGGTTCTGGGCATCCTGCTCATCTCTCTTGGCATCCTCGGCTTGCCTGTGGTTCAAGGCCAATAAATGAATGAAATTAAAATCTTTAATAAATTAAATTCAACTCACATGGTCATGAAGCGTAGCACCAGCAGATTAATACTGGCGGCCACAACGGCCAAGCCGAAGAGGATGAAGACCAAGCTCAGAGCCACATAACCAGGTTTATTGGTCAAGGCCTGGTCGTTCTGCAGGGCCACATAGTCACCGAAACCAATGGTGGTCAGGGTGACGAAGCAGTAGTAGAAGCTATCGAAGTAGCTCCATCCCTCGTACCGGGAGAACACTGCTGCTCCAGTGGTGATAATTATTGAGGAGAGCATTCCGGTGGCCAGCATAAGATTCATCTCGGTGGCATCCGTACAGCGGGCTCCACTGGCCCTCTTTGCCCGCCTTATAATAACCGATGCGAATTTATTCAGACGTTCTCCTATCGACTGGAACATCACCAGACCCAGAGGAATGCCCACCTATAGAAGGAGATATTTATTAGACGAGAAACCAGGATCATTTCCTTACTTACCATTGCATAACCCATACAAAATGCTTTTCCCGGTATGGTGACTGGTGTGGAATGGCCATATCCTAAAATATTTAAGATCATAGGGGAATGGTAATAAAATTATAACGAATTTTAATTGAATTTAGTTTAATTACCTATCATGGCCAGGACAACGGTGCTAAAATAAAAAGCTCCAGCAAATTTCCACTGCGGTCCCGCCTTGTGTGGCTTGTTTTCAATAATAACAATTTCCATGACCTTTGAAAATATTAATTTGTCGTAAATACTATATTTAGCGTATTAAGTCAGATCTATTTAGTATTGGAACTTACCCGGAAATCCTCGTCGCTGACATTGTACTTTTTTACAAAGTTGTTCTTAACGGCTAAAATAAAAATATATTTAAATATAGTCAGAATAAAATGTAAATTAGACTTTTACCCTGTAAAAACTCCCATCTTTTGGCCTCGGTTGGGGACTCCAGAGAATCAAAAACTGCAGCTCCGATTAGAAGGTAGGTAAAAGTGCATACAACAAGGGATAGGGTTCGAACATTCTGACGCTTCATGATGAAGATAGTATTTTAAAACTTTTTCAAAGTTATCTTTTGAAATCCTTTCCACTGGCGCCTTTTTTGTTCAGGCAAAGATGCTGCGACTGACAAAATCGATAATTGTCAGCAAAACAAATACACAGCATCCACAAGAAATTGTTATTTCGCTTACAGGGGCTCGATAACAAGTGAACTGATAAATGCCATTAACTTTTTCATGTTCAAAACATTTTAAAAGTATTATTAACAAATGCCAACTGTTGAAAGTATTTTTATCCTATTTTAGATAATAATATAACCGTTATTACACAGCAGAAGCAACAGAGTCTAATGGCGCTGCCACTTGTCTCTGTTAGATAACAGTAAGGGCATTCCCTAAGCTGGAAAAATGCAGAAATGTTAAATTTTGGTCAAATGTTTAGCAAATTCAATTGTGAAAAATATAAATAGTTTAACAAACTCGAGGCTGTTGAATCGTTAAAAACTTGTTTCATTATAAAGTCGTTACCACTCTGTAACATATTAGTGCAAAGTTCAAATTACAATAATTATTTAATATTAATATTAATATTACTTTTTCTTAGCTTAATTTATAATTTACCCAAAATATGAATCCAATTTTTACAGTTACTTTTATTAAAAATATTACAGGGCAACAAAAAAGTAACATTCTTTTGTTCCAATTAGCCACTTTTAACATTCAAAATGCCGCCGAGTTGGCAGCGCCGATAGCTCAGCAAACAATCGATGCGGAGGAAAGGAAAACCTATCGGCAGCTCTGATTTGTTTATGCGAAAAAAAAAACCACGCAAGTACAGCGATTGGATTGTTGCAGTAGGCTGCTGTGTCTGTGACGTCGACTTTTCCATGCTTAATTAACCGGAAAATGTTGCGAATACGTCGGCGCTTCGCCTTGGTAATCTGCTCCGGCTGCCTGCTGGTTTTCCTCAGCCTGTACGTGATCCTAAACTTTTCGGCGCCGGCAGCCACTCAGAAAAGGGTAAATAAACGATGCTAAAACTAAATGATAAATTATAATAAACCCCTCGATCTTGCAGCCCAACTATGAGAACATAGAGAACAAGCTGCAGCAGCTGGAAAATGGCCTGCAGGAGCACGGCGAGGAGATGCGGAGCCTGAGGGCTCGATTGGCCAAAACGGCGAGCAGGGAGGAGCCAAAAAGGTCTCCACTGAAGGAGACGCGATCTGTGAAGCCCGGAAAGTGCCAGGATGTGGTCCAGGATGTGCCCAATGTGGAGGTGCAGATGCTGGAGCTGTACGATCGCATGTCCTTCAAGGACATCGATGGAGGCGTGTGGAAACAGGGCTGGAACATCAAGTACGATCCCCTGAAGTACAACGCCCATCACAAACTCAGGGTCTTCGTGGTTCCCCACTCGCACAACGATCCCGGGTGGATCCAGACCTTCGAGGACTACTACCAGCACGACACCAAGCACATCCTCTCCAATGCCCTGCGGCATCTGCACGAGAATCCCGAGATGAAGTTCATCTGGGCGGAGACCTCGTACTTTGCCCGATTCTACCACGATCTGGGCGAGAACAAAAAGCTGCAGATGAAGTCGTAAGCACGCCCTTTACATATATTGTATTAAGCTATATTTGCAAGAGACACGTAAAGCCGGTAGTTAAACTTTAAACAGTTGTTTTGTACAACAAAGGAATGCTTTTCAGCGATAATACGTAAATGCAGTGGCACGAGTTGCTTGTTTAGATTAGTATTATCTTTATGATTTCATTCATAAATAATATTGCAATATTTTCCTAAGAAACATGCATAGCTATAGGTTTTCTACGGAAGTTTATTTATTTAAACTACGTAACAGATATTCAAGCTTGATTAACTATTAGAGCCCTGCATGAATGGATTCAATGAATTATTTTACATTTTTGGTTTATATAAATGAATTAATTAGAATTTTGAGTTTATTAGAACTGAATGAATTAGAATTTTGAGTTTAATAGAAGTAAATGAATTTGAATTTTGAGTTTAGTAGAATTGAATGAATGAATGGCATGAATTCTGAAACAATTCAATCGATAACTTCTTTTGAAGAAGAAAGTACCATCATTTTAGAAATCTTATTTTCTAAGCAGTTAGCATTGACTTGTTAAAAATGTTCCACTTTTTGTTCTGAAAAGAAAGCTCAAAAAAAATTTGGCAAATTCAAAAAATTAATAAAAATGATTCAATCAATTGGAAATGAATTAGAAAAACATTCAATTTATTTCACATAGAATTGAATTGAATTAAACTAATTGGAATTTTCATGGCATAAAACCAAACCATGTGATAAAACCAAAAATTTAATGATTCACGTAGGACTCTATTAAGTACTTGATAAGCATTTCCTAGTGTGTTTGAAGGAGTACAACTTATAATTAACCATTAATTATATCAAAAATTTCTTATTTTATAGCATTGTCAAGAGTGGACAATTGGAATTCGTCTCTGGCGGCTGGGTGATGCCGGACGAGGCCAACTCGCACTGGCGCAACGTGCTGCTGCAGCTGACCGAGGGCCAGACGTGGCTGAAGCAGCATCTAAATGTCACGCCGACTGCCTCGTGGGCAATCGATCCGTTTGGCCACAGCCCCACCATGCCGTACATCCTGCAGAAGAGCGGCTTCAAGAACATGCTCATCCAGCGGACGCACTATTCGGTGAAGAAGGAGCTGGCCCAGCAGCGCCAGCTGGAGTTCCACTGGCGGCAGATATGGGATACCAAAGGGGACACCGCTCTTTTCACCCACATGATGCCCTTCTACTCGTACGACATCCCGCACACTTGTGGTCCGGATCCCAAGGTGTGCTGCCAGTTCGATTTTAAGCGCATGGGCGCCTTTGGTTTGAGCTGCCCCTGGAAGGTGCCGCCGCGAGCCATCGACGATGCCAATGTGGCCTTTCGATCGGATCTGCTGGTGGATCAGTGGAAGAAGAAGGCCGAGCTGTATCGCACGAACGTCTTGCTGATTCCCCTGGGCGACGACTTCCGCTTCAAGCAGAACACCGAGTGGGATGTGCAGAGGGTGAACTACGAGCGGCTGTTCGAGCACATCAACAGCCAGGCGCACTTCAATGTGCAGGCGCAGTTCGGCACGCTGCAGGAATACTTCGATGCAGTGCGACAGACGGAGAAGGCGGGATTGGTGGAGTTTCCCACGCTCAGCGGCGACTTCTTCACCTATGCCGATCGCTCGGATAACTATTGGAGTGGGTACTACACATCGCGGCCGTACCACAAGCGCATGGACCGCGTTCTGATGCACTACGTCCGTTCGGCAGAGATGCTCTCCGCTTGGCATTCGTGGGATGGCATGGCGCGCATCGAGGAGCGCCTGGAGCTCGCACGCAGGGAACTGTCTCTGTTCCAGCACCACGATGGCATTACTGGCACCGCCAAGACGCATGTGGTGATCGACTACGAGCAACGCATGCAGGAGGCGCTGAAAGCCTGCCAAATGGTGATGCAGCAGTCTGTCTACCGCCTGCTTACCAAGCCCTCCATCTACAGTCCGGACTTTAGTTTCTCGTACTTCACGCTGGACGACTCGCGCTGGCCGGGATCCGGTGTGGAGGACAGTCGAACCACGATTATTTTGGGCGAGGATATACTGCCCTCCAAGCATGTGGTGCTGCACAACACTCTGCCTCACTGGCGGGAGCAGCTGGTGGACTTCTATGTGTCCAGCCCGTTCGTGAGTGTCGCCGATCTGGCCAACAATCCGGTGGAGGCTCAAGTGTCGCCTGTATGGAGCTGGCACCACGACACGCTCACCAAGACCATCCACCCACAAGGCTCCACCACCAAGTATCGCATCATCTTCAAGGCCCGGGTGCCGCCCATGGGTCTGGCCACATACGTTTTGACCATCTCCGAGTCCAAGCCAGAGTAAGTACGACTTTACTTTTCTTATTTTATAAATAGATATTCATTCTTTGGAATGGTTTCATCACTAACTTATTTTACCAAGTTCCATAATAATAAAAAATTGTGATAAATTCCGTTTCATTTGAACAATTCCTGTATAACTTGTATTGATTCATTGTATGTACGATCAGTTACTTTTTAATTGCTTTTCAGTGTTTGAGCTAATGTGACATAAATGAAAACAATATTTAAAAAAATTGATTTTTTTGCTTTCTGTCAGCATGACCAAACTTTTATCTCTTCATTTACCAGATGCCTCGATCGGCTTGAGGCTTTATGCAGAGGGTATAATGATTTCTATAAGTCAGAACCGACCGGATCGGAAACAAAACGTTAAAAAATTCTTGCTTCCGTGCTTTTTAAATAATACCTTCTACTTTTGGGAATATTATTTATTAAATATTTCTGCATTTCGAATTAAATTTTTAAATAATCGGATTACTATATCATATAGCTGCCATAGGAACGGTCGGAAAATTAAATGGAAATTAGGAGGAAAAAACGATATCTTTGTTGATTTATATTACATTCTTTTCCTTTCGTATCGAAATCAGCTGAAATTTTGATTGTTGTAACATATTATATAACAAGTAAATCTAAATTTAATGTTTGTGTAAGTTAATAGGAATAATGTGCAAGGGTTTAGCTTTCTTTCTTGTTTCATTTCACTCTAAAACTAACATTCTGATCTTACCCACAGACACACCTCGTACGCCTCGAATCTCTTGCTGCGCGCCAATCCGGCTTCCGTGCCTTTGGGTCAATATCCGGAGGATGTGAAGTTCGGTGAGCCTCGCGAGATCTCGTTGCGGGTGGGCAACGGCCCCACGCTGGCATTTTCGGAGCAGGGTCTGCTCAAGTCCATCCAGCTGGCCCAGGACAGTCCGCATGTGCCGGTGCATTTGAAGTTCCTCAAGTATGGCGTTCGAACGCATGGCGATCGTTCCGGAGCCTATCTGTTCCTGCCCAACGGACCGCCCACGCCCTTCCAGCTCAACCATCCGGTGGTGCTGGTGACCAAGGGCAAACTGGAGTCGTCGGTGAGCGTGGGCCTGCCGAGTGTGGTGCACCAGACGATAATGCGCGGCGGAGCACCGGAGATTCGCAATCTGGTGGACATAGGCTCGCTGGACAACACGGAGATCGTGATGCGTTTGGAGTCGCACATCGACAGTGGCGACATCTTCTACACGGATCTCAATGGGCTGCAGTTCATCAAGCGCCGCCGTCTGGACAAGCTACCCCTGCAGGCCAACTACTACCCAGTGCCCTCGGGCATTTTCATCGAGGATGCCAATATGCGAATCACTCTGCTTACGGGTCAACCGCTGGGTGGCTCTTCGCTGGCCTCGGGTGAGTTGGAGATCATGCAGGATCGACGCCTGGCCAGCGACGATGAGCGTGGCCTGGGACAGGGAGTTTTGGACAACAAGCCGGTGCTGCACATCTATCGCCTGGTGCTGGAGAAGATTAACAGCTGTGCGCGGCCGTCGGAGATGCATCCCGCTGGTTATTTGACCAGTGCCGCCCACAAGGCCTCGCAGTCACTGCTGGACCCACTGGACAAGTTTATATTCGCCGAAAACGAATGGGTCGGGGCACAGGGTCAGTTTGGCAGCGATCATCCTTCGGCGCGTGAGGATCTGGACGTGACCGTCATGCGACGACTGACCAAGAGCTCGGCCAAGGCGCAGCGCGTGGGCTACGTCCTGCACCGCACCAATTTGATGCAATGCGGCATCCCGGAGGAGCGCGCCCAGAAGGTGAGCCATTAAAACGATCTCGCGAATTCTTTAGGATTTTATTTTATAATATAGTATGTAAACCGTTTAAATCTTAGCTCATTAGAACGATTCCGCGAATTCTTTAGGATTTCAATTTTTAATATAGTATGTAAACCGTTTAAATCTAAGCCCATTAGAACAATATCGCGAATCCTTTAGGATTTTAATTTTTAATATAGTATGTAAACCGTTTAAATCTAAACCCATTAGAACGATCTCGCGAATTCTTTAGGATTTTAATTTTTAATATAGTATGTCAAAATCTAAGCCCATTAAAACGATCTCGCGAATTCTTTAGGATTTAAATCTTTAATATAGTATGTAAACCGTTTCAATCTAAGACCTTTAGAACAATCTCCCGAATTCTTTAGGATTTTAACTATTAATATAGTATGTAAACCGTTTAAATCGAAGCCCATTAAAACGATCTCGCGAATTCTTTAGGATTTTAATTATTAATATAGTATGTAAACCGTTTAAATCTAAGCCCTTTAATTCGATCTCGCGAATTCTTTAGGATTTTAAGTTTTAATGTAGTATATAAAAACTCTAAATCTAATTCCTCCCCATTTTTGCCCCACAGTTGGATGTGTGCCACTTACTGCCGAATGTGGCGAGGTGCGAGCGCACGACCCTTACCTTTCTGCAGAATCTGGAGCTGATGGACGGCATGGTGGCGCCGGAGGTGTGCCCCATGGACACCGCCGCCTATGTGAGCAGCCACACCAGCTGATCGCCGCGTGTCCTCAAAAAGGATGAAGGGAGGAACCCGGAAGAAAAGCGACTAAAGGACAACCTATGAATCTCGGACGCTAACTCACTGCAATACAGGCAATCTTCGTTTAATGTTCAACTCAAGCACTGACTGCACCGAAAGACGTAATGCGTAATCCAAACTACGTATCATTTATTTATTCAAGCTTCCACACGAGGGTTTGGAAATTCGATCCTATGACGCAGCGGTGTGTTTTTTTGCACCCCTTTTGTGACTACACATTTTACTTTGTTTCCCCTAGGTTTTTACGTTTTTTGTGATATCCCTCCAGTTCCACAGCAAGCAATACTTTTCTGTCTTCGATATCCTGACCTGGATATTCCTATGCCTAAAATCATTGAATCGTAACTATAACTAACGTTTAACTGTAATGTAGGCTTAGTGTTAATGACGCAACTGCAAAGGCAATGATATTAATCTTGACGTTTGTTTTTTACGAATCGAATAAATTGAGTCTCATTTTAGAATCGACTTTTAAGTGCTATTCTAAAGTAAAAATATAAAAAACTTGTTTATTTTAATGGGTAATAATGGCAATCAAAATGACATCAATTCAAAGATAAAAAAAATATTTTTTTTAATTTGAAAACTTGATAATTTTTTAAGAACAAATATTTTACAGCGTTTTTAACATTTTATGTAAAGCCTGTTGATTAAAACAAGCAACACAAAGTTTAGTCTTGAGATGATTTCATTCTGGCTTTGGATTATGAAACGGATTTTAAGAAAACTAATTAAAGTCATAATCATGAGTTATAGTTTTAGTGGTTGGAAAACAGAGTGCAATCTTATCAGCGCCAGTGCGGTACTGTTATTGCCAGAATGACCTACAGAGATACTGGGAGAGGAAAATGGAGGCAATTGGAAAGAAAAATTCACAGTGGAAATCCGGATTGAGCGTAAAGTGGTTGTTTTCGGAGAGAATCGCTGCGCAGTTTTTCCTCTCTCTCTCTCGCGCGCTCTCTCTCCTTTTCTGTTAAATCCAAAACGGGCAACGAAAGCAAAACCGAATTGTATCTGCGAGATACTTGCGCTCTCGCGCTCTCCCTCTCCCGCTCTCTTTAACGACCATCGGAATTTTCTGTACAGAAACAGAAATCTCAGCGGGCTCGCTGTTTTCAAGTTTTGAATCCGCATTTCAGTTCAGTTGGATTTCAGTCACAGTCAGAGCGTCAGATTCAGATCATCGTGGTCGCCAGTGAGTTTGTTTATATGTTTGTTGGTGCCTGTGTGTTTGCTTGTCAAGTTCTGCAACAAAAACAAGGCATCTAAACAAAAGTGGTTCAAAACAATTAAGAAGAATAAAAAGCAACCAAAAAAATACGAAAAAAAAGCACAGTGTCGTTTAAATCGCAGCGTAACTGCAGCTCTTGTTGTTGTTGTTGTTCAAAGCGGACTGGAATTTAATTAAATTAAATTAAATCATGTACGAATGCGAGTGTGTGTGTGTGTCTAAGCTGCGTTCTTGAGTTGTTCTTTTTCTAAGTTCTTTTTTTCGTGGCGTGTATCTGTGTGCGCGTGTTCGTTTGCTGGTGTGCGTGTGCTTTTTGTGAACTACGTTTTGTTTCAATGCCAAAAAGTATCTATGCCCTGGCATGTGCGCTCTCTCCATCTCCCTCTCTCTTTCGCTCGCTCATGCTGGTTACATAAATACTGGTAGAAGAGGAAGAGGCGGAGAAGCAGGAGGAGGAGGAGGAGGCGACTGAAATTGAAATACAAATTCAATTAACACCTGAAAACGGAAAGCCAACTGGAACACACTGGTCTGATTGGACGAGCAAGGGGGAAACATGTGTTTGATTTTCCAACTAGTCGAGTCTTCATCTTATCCCTTTTAAATGTTAGAAGCAAAGCTCCTTGAAAGAAGAAACAGAGGAATGTGGAAAAAGAGCAGGAGAACCAAAACGAGAACGAGAACACCAAAAAAACGAAATTAACGACGTCACATAAAAGTGTGTCAAAGCAGCAGCTCACGCACACCAGCGTGGCCCATTTTGTATCTGTGTGAAGCTTTGGCTCTCTCTTGCTCTCTCTCTCCGTCCCTCTCTTTCGCTGATAAAACGCAACGCACACAGCGCGTATACATAATTTATATATTTATTTAAATGTTTTTCGTTTGCATGGTTTGAACAACGAGTTTTTCTCGTTATTCTAAGGCTGTCCCCCTTTGTTTCTCTCTCTCCGCGGCATATGGCATTGCTCAATTATTATGTCATAAACATTTTGAATGGCAAATATGCGATAGAAGTTCAATTCGTTCAAGGCAATATTGTTTTTGAAGCTTTTTGGCTTTTGGCGCAGGAAATGCAAAAGTCGACAAAAGTGTGCGTGTGTGTGCAGGAACGTGCAGCAATTTTCCAACGTTTGCATGAAAAACCTAGTGCCCTAATAAGCGAAACGCGAGAGAGAGAAAAGCCCAGCGAGAGGAGAGAGAGAGCTTGCAACCGAATCGTGAGAGGAGCAGTTTTCCCGCACTCGAATTTAAAAATCAATGTAGAAAATGCGCGCAAAGCGGACAAAGAAAACATACACTCACTCGAATGTTAGACAGAAATGTGATCGGACGGGCACGTGTACGTGGCACACAGATACGAAAGAGCAAGAGAGCTGTAGAGAGCGGAATATTTAATCGGGAAAAGAGAGCTTCACTTCCATTCGCTCGCTCAGCTGCTCAACGCAAACTTAACGTTAGATTTTTAGAATCAAAAAAAGCACGCTGAGACAAAGACGCGCACGAAAACTGAACGGAAAAACGGAAAAGGCAAAGGCGGATGAAGCAGCGCAAAGGAGAGGCGTAAGCAGGCGCTAAAAAATATTTTAAAATATATCAAAAAACATTGCGCTTGGCTTCGAAATTCGCGAAATAAATAATCTAATCCGAGTGTGACTGTGTGTGTGTTTGTTTAAAACCCAAGCAACAACAACAACAAAAGCAGCAGAACAACAAAAACCCAAAAACCATAATAAAAAACCTCTAATCAAATTCAGGATCCACTACAACAACAACAAAAACCACTGTCGCGTCTCCAAATGAAACAATAATTGAATAATTGAATTACCCAATAAAGAAAACAAAAAGCAAAGCGAATAACGGGTTGAAAGTTTAAAAAAAGTAAGCCAGTCGAGGAGATATTATATCCGCACATCAGCGTTTAAAGTACCATATATAGTTGTTCTTATCTATACCCACACTCAATTAATTGCAGCTGAATGCACGACTCCTTGCAGAAAGGTGAATATATTTCAAACTAGTCATAAGATCTTGGATTAAGCATAGTTTAGCATAAGGCAGGGTGTGTCCATCGGTTTGGGTTCTCTACATTTTGAAGATTTAAAGTCCGGGCAATATATGTTTTGAATACAGAAGAAATATTCTAAAACTTGAACTTTTTTGTTATCTTTTTTCCTCAAAGCAAAGTATAAAAAAACTTTGAAAAAGTAATAAAATATTTTTGTTGACTCATTAAAAAATTTCTTTTCTACAAGTCTTTAGTTTTTTTGAGTCATGACTCTAAGATGTTTTCTAATGCTTATAATAAATTCGACCTCTAGAAGTTCGAGTTGCGGAGGTTCGACTGTATTTAAAGTTTTCCCATTTTGCGCAACCGAATGAAATGGCTTTCGAGCATATTTACGAGTGCGGGGAATGGGAATGGCTATATTCATAGATGGTATGAATATGTACTACTGATTGCCCGATCTCTCGGTCTCGACTCTCTCTCTCTTTCTCCCCCTATATCTCTCGTCCGTTCTCTCCATCTGGCATGCTAATCAAAGTCGCAGCTCATCTCCACCTCCCAACGCCCCCTTGCGTTTATCTGCTCATCAATTTGCTCGTTTCATAGCCTAACCCGACACTTGATTCTAGTTTTGTACTTTTTTCCTTCCCCCAGCTGCTGTTAAATGCAAATAGGCATTAAATTGTCCGCTTGTCTGTCGTTTCGTTTCATTTGCATTCACACCGACGACCTCTCCTCCTCCTCCAGCCACCTGCCCCGCCCCCTCCTCCACCGCCCCCGTTGCGCAATTTGGTGGGGCAGCTCGTATGTGGGTTAAACTGCTGCCACGGCTGCTGCTGCACCACTGGCAAATCTACAGAAAACAGAAACGGAAAAAGGAGGAGGAGGTGGAGAAGGAGGTGCAGTACACGGAGAGAAATAGCAATAGAAAAGTATAGAAGAACATTTTTTTAATTTGAATACTTTTCGCTCAGCTGTTTGCAGCTGATTTTCGTTAAGGGTGCAGTGTGAACGCAGCTTTTGCGAAATAAGGTCACACTAGACAAACGGGAGTTTAAGGACTTTGTTGCGCTTTTGTTTCTAAATATCTTCTTATTCTCCCGAGTAAGTACTCTCTTCTGAATTTTTTTTATTCTCAAAATCAGTCCCCCTATTGAACCTCTAGTATCAGGTCCATTTTGACCCCGTTTTTCGCTGTGCAAAAGTTGCAGGGGGACAAAATAACTGGGAAAAATTAACCCAAAACGAAACGAGAAAAGGTTTATGTAAACAAGCGCGCACACACACGGGCCTACACACACACACGTACACACTCTTACCCACACAGCCGCACTGGGCCGCGTTCATGCAAAAGGCACGAAACTGCTGTTAACCTATTTGCCGTAATGGTTACGGCGGTGATTTCGACCCGGAGACTCTCTCGGCTCGGCTAATAAGCCGAGAGTCCGAGCCCCATTTTCGAGTCGAGTCGATTAAGGGCCCCCCAACCAAACCGAACAAAACTGAAGTGCAAAACTGCAAACTTGGCGGTAAACTAAAGTGCCTGATGTTCTAGGAAAATTTCAAAGCCTACGAAATTGCTTCGCAAAAAAAGAAAAACGAAATAAGGTTGAATGAATCACTCGAAGATCAGAATCTCAGAGACCGCGACGTAGTAATTTACAGGGGTTGAAATTGTGGCCACCACAAGTTTTCCACATGGAAGCTGTCAAAGGAACAACTGCGTGCGGAGTTTCTATTATTTTGGGGTGTTCCTATTATTCACTAACCATTATATGGAAACCACATTCTTATACACTCTGGTACACATCCATAGTTCCGGTTAGGCGGCATTTCGAATCTTAAGTAGCTTAAAACTGGCCAATATGAAATTTATTTTTAGAGTGCCATATACTTTTTTTATTCTCGTTAATGATTACCAGTAATTTTAATGACAGAAAATCCCCTTTCTTACTAAACTTGTATTTGCTTTATCATGTTGTATTTTTAATATCTTTTTATAATACTTTTGATTAATTGAAGCTTAAAGAATTTTAATGAGCTTGACTTGAAATATTTGTTTATTTCTGTTTAGTTGTTCACTGTACAAAACGTCTGTAAAGTATTCCTTGCCGATAATCAGCATCTTTAGGTTTCCAATAATATTTTTTTTATTAATCAGCTAATGGGGTCAGACCTGTTGTTTAGCTTTTGATCATCTCTAATCCACCTGGTAAAACCCCCCCAACTTCTCGACCTTGCCGTGCCGTGTCCATACATATTCAACGAATTTTTAATTGCCACCAATGCCTGGGCATATCGCTTGGCAAACCATCGACTGGGCGGTAATTGCCGCCTCAGTTAATTGGCTGCATCAATTGAAAGCTATTGGAGGTAGAGCCGCAGTAAAAACAATTACCCATCCATCGACTTTGACGCCGTTCAAGTTCACAGCGCGTCATCGAGTGAAAACAAAAAAGCACACCACAACAAATTACTTGCATTTGTAATTATGGAAACAAAAAAAAAATACAAGTATTTTTTACTCGGGCGTCTTCAATTGAATTACTGTTAATGAAATGTCTCTGCCTCGAATGACGTAACAATTTACAAAGCAGCAAAATGAGCAAAGCAAACAGAAAAGCAAAACAGAAACAAGCCATCAGCAATAAGTGAAAACAAAGGAGGGCTAAGCAATAACAATAAGCAATAATCTTGAAGAATTTTCTGCCAAGCAAAATACATAATAGCCATAATAAGAATCGGCGAGAGAGAGGCAGATAGGGTGAAAGAAAGAGACGGCAATGTAGGTCTGGCAATTCATTTTGCAGGTGAGGATGGCAAAACGATGTGCATTCCGTAGCTCAAGCGAAACCATGTTGTTGTCGCCAGGGATGCGTAGTATCTAGTCAAGTTTTTTTTGGTAATATCTCAACCTATAAATATAAAAAAGGCATCAAAATATATAGTTAAAGTTTATTAGCTTTCAAATGGTACAGAAAGGCACATTTGTTTCGGACTCTAAAGAATTCGCGCACCTATTTCCGCCTCCAGATCTATTTAAACCTTTCGCATCACTGATTCTGCATCATGTTGCTGCCGTGCTGTTGCTGTTGTAGCTGCAACATATGTACAAATAGGTTTAAAGGGTGGAAAGGGCCCAAAAGCCAAGGGGGCTGGCGAATGAATTACATTGTCGCCTGCCAGCATCGATTCTGGCTAAATTGGGACGCTGTTTGTCGCCATCTCTTGGCTCGCTCGCTCTCTCTCTCTCTTTCCGCCTCTCTGTAGCCATCTCTTTCGGCCATTCTGGCTGCCAAAAGAGCTTCTGCCTTTTCTTCTGCCTTAGCTGCAAAGCATAAAAACCGTTGTTGGCCTGGCAAAGTGCAGCAGCAGTAGTCGTAGTACAAAAACTGTCGCCTGGCTCGCCAACAACTGGGGCAATTTTTAATTAAAATGCCAAAAATAAAGCACACCAACAAATATTTGTTTCATTGTCAGCTAGGGTTGTCAAGTAATTTGATTTAATATTTCTCTTTGACTTGTGCCATATTGAAAATGAAAAGTAATCACAGATGGGGCTTTCCTTGGGGCAAAAAGCTGGCCACAAGTTGACTCGAGGCCAAGAAACAAGATCTTCTATATATAGAGGTATTTGCCTTAAATTAGATCTGTCATTTTAAGAGCACTGTGTAGTGGGGAAAAGATGATATATGGTCTTCATAAAAATACGACTTAATTTAAAAAGGTAAAATAATGTAGAATCTTTTTATTTCAGACTATTCTAGGTTTTTCAAGTTAAACTATCCCTTCCTAACATTTCTACATTTGAGGCATTAATTATTCGAAGATTTTCCGATTTTCCAATTTCCCCCAAAGTGGTTCATTAGATGGGGGAAACCATTGACACGTTTATGGCAGCTAACCAGGCAACCGTAACACCAGGTCAGAACACTTGAGCATGCCTGAGGACCTGGGGGAGGAATTCGGGATGGAAAAGGGGAGTGGAGAATTGAGGGGAATCGAGAGAATCCGCCCATCGACCTGCTCACTTGTTTACTTCGACTTGCCATAAGTTCTTTGTGTTTGACTTAGTCTTTTGTGGCTGTCGTGTTGCCATTTGACTGCCTTCTGCCTTCTGCTTCTGCCTTCGCCTTTATTTATGGATAATTCATAGACGCACCTTGGCTGAGGCACCTGCAAACACGAATTCGATTTGATTGGAATCGCTGCTGCGGCTGCCAATCCCCTCCCCCCAAGCAAACCAACCCAAACCCATACCAAACCATATTGACGAGCGACCTAGCGACATAGTTTCGCAGTTTGGCTTCGCTGCCCCCAAGTAATTTACATATAGACTCACACAGATACTCACACCAGCTGCATGTCTGCCTTTACGCCTTTGTTGTTGCTGCTGCTGCTGCTGCTGTCTCTTGGCCTAATTGTGAGCTTTTGATTTTGTTTTCATGGGAAGCCCCGGCATTCGCCGTCCGTGTCTCTCTGCGGATTTCGCTTGGCTCAGCGTTGCATATTTTCCCCACCTTGGATGGAAATGGATGTGTGTTCCTCTTTTTTCTTCTCTCCAATGTAGATTCTCATAGGGCCATAGCCAGTATTTATATTTGGCCATATTACGTTGCTTAACCTTCACCCATTTATGCCACGAAAATACCATGGAAAGCCAAGAGAGAGAGAGAGAAAAAAATGAAAGAAGTCACGGGGAAAAGCGCAGCATTTTTGGAGTGTACGACTAAATATAGTATATGGCCATGTAGATGTACAGATAAATGTGGCTATATATTTATTTATATGCACTTTACAGATAAATTCATATTTATAGACAGACGGTGGCTGCTGCATTTGATGGTGGTAACACGTCGATGGGCTAGGAACACGTTGCGTATACGCAACGTATACTCCATTATGCAACGCACATAATCAGCGCTAATGTGAAATTCTAATTTCATTTGCTTTACTCATTAATAATTATAATTACACGGGCTGGCAGCTAAAA